ATCATTGACACATCTAAGGCCAGTTTGAAGAACAAAAGTCAACAAGCCAAGAAAACCTCCTTACCGCCCCGGTATACGCTCTCATTGAGAAGCGAAATCACTCGGAAAGTAATTCAAGCTTTTGCAAATCCTTCGAGCAATCACCCACAGGTATGACTGTCGACAGAACTGGTTACAAGCGACCTGATGACGATTTTGTCCTTTGCATATAAAAGTACCAGTTTACTATCGAAACGAATGAATGAATCGAACGGGGATTTGTTGTTTTACTTATGGAATCGAACTTTCGTTAAATGCGTGGTAACAGTGCTACCCCGATGCGCCATGCCTGCCGAAACTTGTACGTTCCTAAGTAAAAGTTACGTTTGCCTAAGCTATAAAGCAAATTCTCGTCTCAGCGAGTTTTATAGCACTGCCAGTGTTCGTGGAGTGTAAAGCCAAGAAAACTTTAACTTTCTTTTTGGTAAAACCGTGCTCAGAGCAATATGAACAAGTTGGTCACTGTGAAAAGCTGAGTAATGGAGCCGGGAAAATGAGAAGTTGAAGATTTTTGGAACTTATCGTCGTGTTCTTATAAGCAACAGTACCGCTATCAGATGGCCGAAGCACGATACATCGTTATGGCAGCATGCAAAATTCGATTAGCTGGAAGAGATTGCTTTTTTTGCTAATAGCCTATAGAAGCTGCGTATCGGTAAACAGGATTTGCAAAAAAAAAAGCGCTGTTATTTGGTGGTCAAAGAAGAAACGGTACGAGCGATTGCAAGCTGGAGTTACGCGGTATGAGGCAAAAGAAACGGCTTGTGGTGTTCTCGGCCAAAAATCGAATCCCTGAGATCTGCGTCCTCATAGTTCTAACAATACGGCGCGACTGGTTATTTTTTTCATTGAGCTTCCATTCATGACTGAACTGATCCGTCAGAAAATGCTGACTTTTCGATTCACTGAATTGCAGCGCGGTGTGGTGCACAGAGACTTAAAGTTGCAAAACATCCTGTTGGATTCGAACAAGAACGTAAAACTTGCCGATTTCGGACTGTCCGACTATTTCTGCGATACCAGCTCATTGAAAGCTTTCTGTGGTACCCCGAAATATGCTGCTCCAGAAATGTTCTTCGGATATGCATACAGAGGTCCAGAGGTACTCGGAAATTTACATTTATCAGTAACAACTAACACATCCCGAATCTTCAGCAAGTTTTTACACCAGTCTATTATGTATAGAAAAAGGGTTAGTAACAAGTAGTAACGCTTTTTTTTCAGGTTGACTGCTGGAGTTTGGGAGTTGTTCTTTACAAAATTCTTTATGGGCATGTGCCATTCGCTGCTCGTAGTTTTGCGAAACCAGCCAATCAAATGATTCGCGGAGTATATACCGATCCTAATCCTAATTCAAGTACAGTTTATGCTACACCCGAAAACATACCTTACTTTGATAACTGTTCTTCCCGTCACTGATGTAACTGGTAATTTCTCTGTT